AGTCTGAGCAGCAGCTGTGGCAGCTTCTATTGTTGCTGCATTGCTCCCACCTCTACTTAGAACTTGTCTTGCAGCACTTACAGCAGCTTCAAGTTCCTTCATTTCATCATCATTATCAGCAGCTCTCCTTTCTAAGATAGCGGCTGCTCGTTCTTCATGAAGTTTCTGCATCTGGTCTTCAAGTTCCTCAATGTAAGGACCTTTATCCTGTAAGGATTTAAATACCCATAATAGTTAGCACACAGGATCAAGTTCTCCTGGACAACTCAAACAAAAACTTAAAAATTAGAGCTTTACAAACTCAGATTTTCAAAATGTCAAACAAACAGACCCTAGTTTTTTTTATTTCAAAATGTCTAACGGTTCCCCTAGGTTCTTTGACCCTATAATCCTACCAAAAAGTCTAACTTCAGACAGTTCAAAAGTCCACTACTTTTCACCTAAACTTGGTACAATACTGTATTAGTGGCCACTAAAGAGAGAAACAGTAATCAGCAAGTTACTAATCGCCACAGCTGGCATAAGAAAGTTCAGTCGACTGGAACAACCTAAACGAAAGTGAAAAGGAAGTACTAATGAACTAAGCTATGAGTTTCAGTGAATGTTCTTCTGTTTCACTATTGTACAATACTTATGATAAATTATGACTCGTTTCCTATTGTACAAGGCATCGGGTGCCAGTCATGGCTTGTTTAGAAAACGGGTCATGACATCATTGACCCAAGACACGTGCTTTATGCCTTGGCACACTTCATAGAAGAGTTGCTTAAGTAAGCCAAAGCACCCAAACTGCACTACACCTAGTTTAAGGGCTTAAGCATGTGTCAAGCTATGTCTTAACACTAAATAACTAAATGGATCCTAAAAATGGATCAGACTTTGCAGGATCCACCTAATAGACCGATTTCTAGAAGAGCAACTGCGCTTGTCACCCTACCCAGTAACTGAAATTATTTCACAACTACAAGTGCAACTGTGCTTGTCACCCTTCTAGGTCATCTTTTCTCAATTTAATTCCTCCTAAAACTAAGATAATGAATGACCGTTAAAGTCGTATCACAAGTACTGCAACAGCAGCGCCAGAATATATATGGAAATACATAATATGCCGCTCATAAATCAGAAAATCATACCTGCAAAAGCGCACATATAACAGAAACAAAGTCGCGAAGCTTTTGCATAAACATGTACTTCTCACCAGCAGCAGACAAAGAATTTTCCAGCGTAGTGACTTTCGACAATGAGGCAGATAAATTTTCTTCAGTCTTATGCAATGATGTCACAGTTCGGCCATGAGATTCCTGACAAAGAAAATAAAAAAATAATACTGTTAGTCTATGCATCCATTATAATAACTTTAGAATGCAACACATGCTATTAAACAACAACAACAACAACTACAACCCAGTGAAATCCCACTAAGTGGGGTCTGGGGAAGGTATAGTGGGCACAAACCTTATCACTACCTCGTGGAGATAGAGAGGCTGTTTCCGAAAGAACCATGGCTCAAGAGAGTTAGTTACTACAAAATATATGGAGGAACTGTGCACATACACATGCTTAAGTGCACAGTTTACACTGTATTTCTGTGAGCAATATTAAAAGTTCTAAAGTTCTCATGAAAACACTAAAAGATGGTCAAATAATGCACCATAGATTTTTTAAATAGGGTAAAGAAGATACTCCCTCCGTCCCTATTTACTTGTCCATATTTCCTTTTTTAGTTGTCCCTATTTAGTTGTCCATTTTGACAAATCAAGAAAGGACAACAAATTTTTTCCTATTATACCGTTATTTACACTTCTTGAAAATTGTAAAAGTGTATGTTGTTTCCCTCCAATTTATGTCACTTGAATTCAAATAAGTGGTTGTAATTTTGAAGTGAAAAGTTGTCATAAGGGTAAAATTGTAACTTCACTGTGCTAATCATTGTTGCCTTAATCTGTGTGCCATTTCTAAAGTGGACAACTAAAAAGGGACGGAGGGAGTATCATAAATGCAATTTCCAACATGACATAAAATTGCCCATATGTGCATCCCTCCTTTTCAAAACTACATCCATCACTTCCAGTTTACATTCCTAAAGCCAGTGCGCTAATTACAGGGCACCATATCTCCGTGAACATAATCCAGACTATCAATGGTTTTCTGTACAATTACCATAAACTGTTTCAAAGTCTTACAATCATGAAAAACCCACTGAAATAAATGGAAACTGAATGGCTCATGATCCAAAACAGACTCTATTTAGCCAGGACAGAGGAAAGACGACAAATGACCGCACAGGATATGAACAACATCACACAACAAAAGCTAGCCTCAGGAGAGTACCAATCTAGCATTGTATTAACTATGACCAATGCTTTCATGTTTAGCCAACAGAATGTTAGGAAAAAGAAAAATGTTTTTGCAGAAACCTTCTTTCTGCCCTCCAGAGATCATGACATAAAAGATCCTCAATTCCATTTTATCAAATGTCTTGAACCATTGTTAAACATCAGAATTGGAATTCATAAAAACACATAAGAGCTTGTAGTTTATTCTTCACTAATGAACTTCTCAAGCATAGTCAATTCCAAGCTAGGATAAAGGAAAATGGTTGCAGGCAGCATAAAATACTCAACTATGATAAATCCTCTGAATATTGAAAAAAGAACATTTTTTTTAAAAAGGACTAGTAAGCAGCCAACTCCAATTAGTCTGAGATCGAGGCGTAGTCAATTGATTGGCATAGTGATTATTCAGATAAAAAAAAATTGCTAGCAGGCTGGATATGTTGATCAGGTGAAAATAAAAGTGCCAATAAAATGCATTTAGACTAGAGCTAACACTTACTTTGAGTCTTCCCATACTCTCATACAAGGCTTTCTTAGCAACCTCGGCCTTCTTAGAAATTGATAATGCATCCAAACTGGGCAAGCCTCCAACCACTCCTCCTCCAATAGTAGGACCATCAGAAACATCAACACTTTGTACTGAGGAATATACACTAGCTCCTACAGCTGAACTTCCGAAATTCGCCTTCTGAACATTCTGAACTGCAGCTGCACTGCTTACAACACTACTCATCACCCCTCTATTAGACCCATCATCCAACCTTTTTCCTAACCCCTTTCTAACCTGCTCTTCCTCCCACATTTTGTCCTCCTCATCTTCCTCATCATCATCGCTACGAAATCCACCATCTTTCTGCAGTGCCTTATCCTCAAAATCCTCAAACACACCCCTTCTCCCACTACCAATCTTCTCCCCATAGAACCCAATTCTCTGCTGAAACTCCGGCTCCTCATCACTCAACCCCTCAGCTTCACCATGATTACCCCCTTCATCCAATGCTATAAAGTCCTGAGCCGCAGGCCGAGCTTGACGTAGCCTCTCCCTCTTAGCCCTTATTGCATCAATAGTCATCTTATCAGGTATTACTGACCCAACATCATCCTTCTTCCTCGAATCCTTCTCCAATGCCATTGAACCCAACCTATTAACAGTACCACCAAATTGATCAACATCCATTTCGTCATCTTCACTCTCTTGCCCATTTTGCTGAGTTTGAGCACTCACACTAAATGGTGGTTTCACAAGCCCTTTCAAGACGATAACTGGTTCAACGGGCCGGGGCCCGGACTCTGGTTTGGGTTGGGCAGAGCGAGAACCAACTAAGGTTCTGGTGTTCTTCTGGAGCTCAAGGAGTGCTTCCTTGGTGTAAGTACCAGCTTGAGGTTGTACATTGGAGGTGAATGAAGGAGGTTTAGGGGTAATTCGGTCTTTTCCAGAAGTAAGCTTGTGCGCAGAAGATGACGAAGAGGGTTTCGTGATTCGTGAAGAAGCAGTTGAGGGTTTGGAGGACGGCCGAACGAAGGGAGTATCGTCGGAATCTTCGTCGTCGGCGAAACTAAGTAGACTTTTCTTTTTGGGTTTGGTGGCGGAAGCGGAAGCGGTGATTGTAGGTTTAGCGGCGGTGCCATTGGTGGTCTTGGCGGAGGTTTCATCATCGTCGCCGTCGTCGCCGCCACGACGGCGAAAGTTGCGGGATTTGCCGGACATGATTTGGCGCCGGAGACGGGTTTTTCACGGTGGAGCGAAGAACGTGGAATGAAAGAAGAACAAAAAGATGAAATGTGTAATTAGGAGAGGAGTGAGGGGTAGAAAAGGTATTTTCTTTCACCTATTTAATACGTATATTTTATTTTAATTAATTGAAGTTAGCACACTTTTTATTCTTCAAAAATAAATTTATGATAAACATTAGGTTATTCTATTAATTACTCAATAGGTAGCAATTTCAACACAAAAAAAAAACAATTTTACATGCTCATTCAATATGAACAAGCACTACCATCTTCGGATTGAAAATCAATCAAAAGTAAAAAAAAACGTTTTGAATCAAAAAATCACACTCAATATCTTAAATTCAACTTTACTTCAAATAAATAAGTCAATTACCGATAAAAATAATTTGATTAAAGTGACCTATAAGCAAGAGTTTTCATTTTAAAAATGAATAATTGTACCTTAATAAGTTTCACTTTGCTTTACTACGAAGCACATGGATTGTAGTACTTTTAAAAAATTTAATAAGAAATATTTATAAAATTAAATTAAAAAGTGGATACTAGTCAAAGAAAAATATGTAATCAATAATAGGTTAAAATGGTTATAAGAAAACAAAAAACAAATATAATGTCGTAAATTACTAAATAAAAGAAAGTTGTGCCTCTAAAATTTCAAACAACTCATTGTGTATTTTTTTCCTTAAATCTTTTATTTAAATAAAATTATTTTATATATTATATTGTACATAAATATAATACATGAGTCTTTATATCTTTTATATATATATATGTATTCTAATTATACGAATTTCTTATATGAAATTTAATATTTACATAATTCATCTCCGAACTAGGATGGCACAGAGATGTGGACTTGGCTCTTGCGGTCTTTTATTGTCAGTGTTTAGTCGTCACAGTATTCAAATGAAAAACACATTTTTAAATTGAAAAATATTCTGAAAAATAAATGAATAAAGAAGTGGGAAACTACAAATAAACCACTAGGACTGTAATTTTTGGGACATTCTATGATACCCCAAAAGGAAAAAAATAAAATTAGCAAAGGGCTTTGATCACATCATTCTTCAATGGCTAGGTATGCAGATTCTTTCTTTCACTTTTGACTACCTTTTTTGTATCTTTTTGTGTTTTTCTTGGATTGATGTCTGCTAAAGTTTCAATTTTTATTTACTTAATCTGATAATCAGTTAATTGATATGAACCAAGATTGGATTTTTACTAATGTATGTTGAATCTTGAAGTCAGGGGATGACTCAAGTTGTGATTTTGGGGTTGTGGGTGAAGTTGGGAATTTGTGTGTTGGGTTTTTTTGGGGTTGATATGCTAGGTTTAAGGCAGGGGTAAGACTGTGTACACACCATCCTCTCCAAACTCCACTTGTGGGATTACACTGGGTATGTTGTTGTTGGTGGTGTGTTAGGTGAAGTTGTTTTTGTCTGTTGAGTTTCTGTGAGCAGATGTTTTGGCTTGATTCAGTGATTGTTTTGGAGTTCTTTTTGCTGAAAAGCTCGAAATCGACCAATGAGTGATGTGATTTATATCTGCTAAAGTTTTTCTTGGATTTATATTTGCTAAAGGTTCAATTTTTATTTACATAATCTGATAATCAGTTAATTGATATGAACCAAGATTGGACTTTTACTAATGTATGTTGAGATTTGAAGTCAAGGGATGACTCAAGTTGTGATTTTGGGTAGTGGGTTAAGTTGGAATTTATGTATTGGGTTTTTCTGGGGTTGATATGCTAGGTTTAAGGTAGGGGTAAGACTGTGTACACACCATCCTCTCTGAACTCCCCTTGCGGGATTACACTGGGTATGTTGTTGTTGTTGCTATGCTAGGTAAAGTTGTATTGGTCTATTGAGTTTCTGTAAGCAGATGTTTTGGCTTGATTTAGTGATTATTTGGGAGTTCTTTTATCTGAAAAGCTCGAAATTGGTCAATGAGTGATGTAACTTATATCTGCTAAAGGTTCAATTTTTATTTACTTAATCTGATAATCAGTAAATTGATATGAACAAGATTGGATTTTCACTAATGTATGTTAAATTTTTAAGTCAAGGGATGACTCAATTTGTGATTTTGGGTGGTGGGTGAAGTTGGAATATGTGTATTGTGTTTTTCTGGGTTTTCTATGCTAGGTTTAGCCTCGGTTCCTTCATAGGGTAGGGGTAACCCAGACCCCACTTCCACTTGTGAGATCACACTGGGTATATTGTTGTTGTTGCTATGCTAGGTTTAATACAATGGTGGGTTAGAGTTACTTTTTGGTCAAAATCCACCTATCTTTGATTCTTTCTAGTAGGTTGAAAGGTTTCTTCTTTTTTCCTGTGTGAATGGGATTGAAGGGGTTTCTTTGGTAGAGTGAGGTATGGCTGTTTACTTTATTATTGGGTTTTTGAAGTCAAAGGATGACTTGAAGTGGTGATTTTGATGAACATCTGAAGTTGTATTTGTCTGTTGAGTTTCTGTGAGCAGATGTTTTTGCTTTGATTCAATGATAGGTTTTGGAGTTCTGATTGCTCAAAAACTTGAAATTGGCCAATGACTGATGCTCTTAGAGTGGTAGTAGGTTTTGATGTTTCCTTTCAGTGAATGGGTTTAAAGTGGTTTACTTGATCAAGTCAGATATGGGTTGTTGCTTGTTTTTCTTTAAACAAGGAATGACTTAAAGTTATGATTTTGATGAATGGATAAAGTTGTATTTGTGTATTGACTTATGCTGAGCAGATGCTATGGCTTGGAATTTTTTGCTTAAAAATGCAAAACCGACCAATTAGTGATGCTCTAAGAGCGGTAGAGGTTCTAATGGCTCATGATCAGTTTGAAGGGGTTTTCTTGGTTGAATGAGGTTGGGATCTTTATGCTGTGGTATTGGTTCTTAGTGGAATACCCAAAGAGGGCTAAGCATGGAAGGCCCACAATATTAAGGATATTTAATATGCTCAAAGCAAGAGAGACAAAACAAATGACCTTGTCTTATGCTTATTGTGTCAAACAAGATGAACTTTCTAGTTTAATGTATGCTAAATCAGGAACATTAATTCACCTTAACTAGGTTAATCAAATACAAAAACAACAGCTTGCTTCAAGGGCTCAATCCCAAGCCATAGGGATTGCACTTATACAAATGTTCTCCATTTCACGGCACTTAGTCCTGGTCATTTCAATATTCAGTAGTTTGGGGTTTTCGAACACTAGTGATTCTCTACATCTTGTACTAACATAAATATCTCTTAACATACTAGAAGACTCAACATGTTTAAACCTTAACCTCAATTAGTTGCTCCTTTTCCCTTTTGCATGTATTTTATGCGCAAATTGTACTGTTGCTCCTTTTCCCTTTTGCAATTATATTCACCTCTTTGCAGAGAAGTGTTGCAGGTGTTCTGAAATCACTAATGGATTTTGAATAGCTTGTTGCATACAATGATGATTTAACACAATTGAAGCTATATACTTCTGATCACCATTAGATTGTTCGAAAATATGATATATCTCTGCGTATCAGAATAAGTTAATAATCTATCACAGCTTTATATTTCTAGTTCAATGTTTACATATAGGGAATTACAGTTAAAAGAAAAGCATACGTATAAATCTAAGACACGTTAATCTTCATTTGGTAGCTACGAAGACAGAAGCCTCCTTGTATGACTTTAAGATGAGAAAATTCACATGATGGATGACACATCCCACTCACCTTACCTTGTTGACTTTCTTAATGGGATGAGAAAACGAGGTCTAAATTTGTTGTCTGTTATATTAGTAGTCGTAGTATTGCTCCTATAGTTTCTTGTCCTTTGATTTCTGTTACTGTTTGTTATTTCTTGTACAGTGATTATTGAATTGTTCTATTGTAGTTTTCATTCTGTTACTATCTGCTGTTTTTTACACTATCCATTGTTTTTTGTTCTTCCGTTACCTCTTTTTTGGGATTGCTTTGGACTGTTTTTTCTTAAGCTGTGGGTCAATCACAAACAACCACTCTACCTCTGATGTAGGGGTAGGGTCTGCGTACGCTTTACCTTCCCTAGACCCCACTTTGTGTGACTATACTGGGTATGTTGTTGTTGAGAAAACAAGGACAAAAGGTGATCCTGGTTATACCTTGCAGGCCATCATGGTTAGTTGACAGTAGGAGGATTGCAACAAAAATTAAGAGTGCATCAGGTGATCCTGCAACAGTGAATTGGAAGAGCAACCCTACAAAAGCTTGCCCTAATTGCCAGTTTATCATTGACAATAATGACGTAAGAGTCTTGTCACATGAACTTCACTTCTCCCTGTTAATCATTCTGTTGAATACCTTTCTATGGACTGTTAATGATAGTGCTTATCATTTGCAAATTGTATCAATCTTCTCGTATATATAGTATATTGGAGATGATTTTCTTGACAAATTAAAAGTATGTTTTCCTAATAGACGTGTAAAAATGAGACAATGAAAATTTGCAAGAACTGAATTGGTTTCCTAGTGCTGGTCTGTTCCCCCCTTCAATCAGATAAGGAGTTTGGCACTGATAGCTATTATAATCTGTGATTGATTGTAATTAGCTGCCTTGAAAAGTTTTCAAGAACCCCTTTCCCCTCTATGTAAAGGAAAACGGTAAAATAATTCGAATGAAGGGAAATGAACAAAGGGAATCAGTAGCTATGATACCTTCAACTGAAACATTTAAGTTGGTCTTTCCAGGTCAGCCATGACTGGCCAGGATTGCCAAGAGGTGTAAAATTTGATCCAACTGATCAAGAGATTATTTGGCACTTACTTGGAAAAGTCGAAGGTGGTGATCGGAATTCCCATCCTTTTATTGATGAGTTCATTCCAACTGTTGATGAGGATGATGGAATCTGCTATACACATCCTCAAAATTTACCAGGTATAAAAAAGATGATCCTATTCCCGTTCTGTTCTTGCACTTTCTGTTTTTGATTTGTTATGGATTTTCGTCTTTGCTGATTATAAGTTTTGTAGGTGTTAAGCAGGATGGAAGTGTCTCACACTTCTTTCACCGAGCAATCAAGGCTTATAATACAGGAACGCGTAAGCGTAGGAAAATACATGGTGATAATTCTGGCGATGTCCGTTGGCATAAGACTGGTCGCACAAAACCTGTTATCTTAGATGGAATCCAAAGAGGGTGTAAGAAGATTATGGTTCTTTATATAAGCCCATCTAAGGGTGGGAAAGCTGAGAAGACAAATTGGGTGATGCACCAGTATCACCTAGGAACTGGTGAAGATGAAAGGGAGGGGGAATATGTTGTGTCTAAAGTATTTTATCAGCAACAGCAAGTCAAGCAGGGTGAAAAAATTGAACAAGAATTCCCCGAGGACTTCGAATGTATGGTTGCTAAAGTAGATCCACATACCCCAAAGTCTGTGACTCCTGAACCCCCTCGCGGTGAGAGACTATCTTCAAGTATGGATGCAAGAGAGCAAATTGCTGCTTCTAGTCCCATTAACCAGGTATTACAAATACTGTTGTTGCTGATCAATGTTAATTTTACACAAGAATAGACCAATTTAGTAAGTTTCTCTATGTATGATATGTAGTAGTGCTTTTGTTCATTGTTGTGAAACATCTTTTGCTTTTGGTCGGTACAATACATTACTATCGGAAACACTCTCTCTTTACTAGATATGTTGTTGTTGACTTCTTCTTCTTGTCGCCTTGTCGGTACGGGACATTACTTAAGCAAACAAGAGAACGAGATATTCAAGTTTGTTGCACCTAGTATTATGCTTATCAACGATAAAAAGTATTTATACAGTCCTGGCTTTCTTACTAGTTACTACGTCTCTTCTTGCTTTGTATCAGTATCATGAGGTGGAGGATTATGTAGAAGATGGCATGGGAGCTCTTCCTGAGCAGCCTGAGAATCAAGACCAAAACATTGAGAATCAAATCGATGAAACTGGGACAAAAGTTGAGACTGAGACTGGTGATGACCCGAAATGGTGGGACAGCGAGTCACAATATTTGCTGGATTCTCAACAACTTGTAGAAGGGCTATCCTTATGTGATGATCTTCTTGCGAGCCAGTCTCCAAATAGGGATGGAAATGAAAATGATCAAGTGCAGAGATGTAAACCTAGTCTTGCTGATTATGCGCTTTTAGGACCCGAGGATCTGAAGAAGGATTTGGAGGAGTGCCAACAATTTGTTGCTGATCCAGCCAACATAGAGATTGGCACTCCACCTGATTTCCGGCTTAGTCAACTTGTAAGTTAAATCTTGTATCTTCCATAACATTTACATACTCCCTCTGTTTCAATTTAGTTGTCTGATTTTGACTTGACACGGAGTTTAAGAAAGTAAGTACGATGTACCAAAATGCCCTTTAATCTTATGGTCTTAAATATATCATGTGGAAAGTTAGAATGAAAGAGTTGTCAAAAAGGAAAGAAGCATTTTTGTTAATGTCAAACAAATTGAAACAGAGGGAGTGCTAAATTTGTATAAGGTTTATCTCTTTTTTGTTAATGTCATTGTTCTTATACTCTGCATAATTGTGATTCAACGTCAAATTTCCGTGTAGGAGTTTGGATCACAGGACAGTTACATTGCATGGGGTGGAAACAAGTATGGTTTTGATTCTGCGGAGCAAAATGGTTGAGATCATAGCTCATCGAACGCTGTCAAGATTGCTAATCCTTAGGTATCAAATTTTGTCAAGCTTGTGGTAAAACTATGTCTACTGCAAGTTAACAGAAACTATTACTTGATGCAACTTCCTGTTTTGTTACCAATGCGCGGTAATGCCTCAAAAGGCGTTAAGTCTTTTTGTGCTAGAACGTTCGTTGAACGATCTGGATTTCTTGCTTAGTTAACCTTGTACATAAGGTTTCATTATTACTACTATTTCCTATGAAAGTTCACAACTTTTTGCCTGCTTACTTGGTTTGTGCATGTTAGAACTCATCTTTTCTACTTTGTGCTTCTTCATCTAGTATATGAACTCGATTAATTTGTGTTTTCGTTACGATGTGATATTTCTAATCTTGTCCAATCTTGTATAACCATACATCCATTCGTATATATTCTTTGTATTGCTCGATTTGATCTGAAACCTATTGGGATATTGCTCGTTCTAACGAGTTTAGAACGTATCTTCAACTAGTAGTTATCGCTTATATGGATCTTTTTCTTTCATTCTGTCCTATTTTTAGCTAAGTCTTCATTGATACAAGGTATTTGTAGGTCTTTCGAGAGAATTTCCTTCTATGTGATTTTAAGTCTACTTCGTCCCTTTGTAATAACTTCGTTTATCGAAGTCTCACATCTACGAAGCGACACATTTGTAGGTCGATGCAGAATTTGTCCAAACCATATCAAGTGATTTTCTCGTATTTTATCCTGATATTTGTACCTACTGGTGAATGTGATTATTCTAATTTACTATAACCACACATCTATCTTAGTATCCGCATCTCTTTTAACAGTCCATCCATCTCATTGATCTCAATATTTATATCAAATCAAAAATAAATATATGTATTAATGAGGAAAATTAAATATACTCTTGGAATTGCATGTGCTCCATAGAATTTTAAGCACATGTACTTAAGTACTATAGAGTAATATTTGACCATAGTATCTGTTTCTGATATTGTTAGAAGATCACTTGACACATCAATATTCATAGTTGATTTTATTTTATTTTTAATTTTGGTTTTCCATCTAGTGTTCTGCAGTCTGCTATCCACATTGAAGCTCAATTAAATTCGAATTCATGCCAGATAGTTCTACATTGGGGGTAAAACACTTTCTAACAAAGGCAAGGAACTCGAATCTGAGACCCCTGGTTAAAAATGAACGAGTACTTATCGCTCCACCACAATCTTCGTTGGTACATGGAGATTATATTCCTTGAACAGATTTATAATTTGCTAGTAGAATTAGTTGGGATTAATATAGGTTGATCCTATGAACATGTTCTGTTGGAAACTAGGAGATAAATACAGGTAGGATGATTTTTTAATATGCATGCATCTTAAAAGCTAGTAATAATTATTTTGAAACTATATATCAGCTTTAAATAATAAGAGGGGCCATTTTAGTTGTTCATTTAATTTTATTGTAGGCATGATTGAAATTTGAATACTTCATATCAGTAGCCACCTATGTCTAATAGCCTGTCAACATGTTAGAGAAAAAAAGAGAGAAGATTTTGGGTATGATTTTATTCAACTATGGCATTTTAATACTTTCTTTCTATGTTACTCGAGCTTTTCAAAAAATATTGTGACATTCGTATCGAATTTTTTAAAAATATTTGAAGAATTTAACATGCACCGAATGATATTTTTAAAGAATTCAAGCAATATCATATATTGGATCCCTTACATAATTTCCTAATTTCGTTATTGAATATTGTAGCAAATAACTTCTCTTATTTTTTAGATTATTAATCACATAGTTCACGAACGAATTATCTATATAGTTTTTTTGTTGTTTCTTTTATTTTGTTTATTTCGCTATTTTGTTGTTATTTTTTTTATTCTGCTTTGATTTCACCTTCTTTGAACGATGATCTATCGAAACAATATTTCTAGATAAAATTAAATTTTACGTATATTCTATTTTTTTTTTAGACATACAACATACTTATGAAATTATGTTGAATATATTATTTTCGTCCTTATAATAGTCTTTTTACACCTTCATCCTTGTATAGAGATAAGGTAATAATATCCTACTCTATTATAAAAAAAAACAAAAAAATAAAAAAAACAGCTAGCTATATGAATTTCAATGTCTTTATTTGTACATGATATGGAAAATGGGGCCATTATTTGCTTTAAATTGTTTCATCCTATAAATCTAGCTAGTGCCCTCTTCCCATATGCCATAATGTATTTCAAGAATCAGACACAAAGGGCTCTCTGACACTTTGAATTTTATTTTTTGGAGTCATAACACAAATGCCAAAAAAATTCGACACTAAGCTTTAAAATATACTATAATATGTTGCCACTTTTGTTACATGGAACACTAGAAACAACAAATTTCACATTCACGCGTATATTGAAATATAAATTATGATACAAATATCAGTCTTGGTTTGAAAGCCTTGACAGTTCAGTTCGCGTGGTTTGTAGCCATCGTAGTTAATTTCACAGTTTAATTACATGATTTATAAATTATACAAGGCAGTTTCACTATCGCTTCAACACTCGTATTTTTTCATAAAATAGCAAACACTTTTATACATGGAATATCAAAAACAACACATTCAACATTCACGCAGATTTGGAGAAGGACCATACTCTTTACATTCTAAAAGTGTATACTATAAGAAGTATATCATGATACAAATATCAATAGTTGATTTCACTTAAATGCGTGATTTATAAATTATACAAAAATAGTATCACTACTGCTTCAACACTCCTATTCTTTTATAAAATAGCAAACACTTTTATACATGAATACCAACAAACAACACATTCAACATTCACGTAGGTTTGGAGAAGGACCATACTCTTTAGATCCTAACGTATATATACTATAGAGAGTATATCATGATACAAATATCAATAGTTGATTTTATAACTTAAATATGTGATTTATAAATTATACGGAGATAATTTTATTGTTACTTCAACACTCCCATTTTTTAATAAAATAGCAAAGGTTGTTATACACGGGAAACCAAAAATAATATTTATTACTTTTTCTTTATTAAAACTCTGTAAAGGAAAGTTGATGCACGAAATATTCTGCGTTCACTCAGAATCCAGGAAAGAGATGTACAATAGGGAGCATACCATGACGCAAACATCAACAACAGATTTCAATACTCGAACCCTGATCACAACATGGAAAATAAATTTTATTTTTCAAAAATAAAAAAAAATCCCCAACTACCCATTTTCAGTAACATGCAATTGAGTAATTAAAAACTATTTTACTGATTCAATTACTCTGGAGAGATTCTAAAATAAGATTAAAAAAAATAATATTCTTTTACTTCATATTTTTTCATAGGCAGGCAAGAACCAACAAACTAGATATTGTTGTCTCATTCAAATCTGATTTAATTAAAGCACCAAAATCTTTGTACATTAAATAATATATATTTTATGAACCATATAATATATGATAGTAACTGTCTTTTATAATTCATACCTAACCTTAACTACTAATCACCGCCAAGGATCTACAATATTTGCTGTTCTTTTTTTTTTAAATGGATAAAATAAAATAAGAAAACAATGAGACAACTTAGAATTTGAATATTTTACGACATCATCTTTAAATTGTCAATTATTAAGTGATTGGATTATAAAAGATTTTGTGTATCGTCTATATATATAAAATTTAAAATTTGTTTATGTTAATTAAAATAAACATTGACAATATGTAAGTATGCTTTAGATATTGACAATGTCATGTGTCTATGTTTTCTTGGTTAATAATATTGATACCATCGACGATACACAAAACAATGGAATAATAATAATTTGAAAGTAAATTAGAGATAGAATTTGATTAAAATAATTGAATAGTCTGAATATACAACCAAAGAAGTGTATATTGAAAAAAAAAATAGGAAGTTTTGACGAATTCATTGATGAGCTAAATTTTGATGAATTTTTCGATTACTCATATTTACGAATTACGATATACATATATACACATATTTTTTCTAAAGTTATGGAAGGCAGGCAACCCTCCTACTCCAGGAGTAGGTCTATTAAGTGTAAAATCACACTGAATATAGTATAACTCAATGACTATATATATTGTACTATTCATGTAAACCTTTATTAATTATTAAGATAATTGAAATAGGAATGTGATCGATATTGTTTTTATGAAAGAGACAATATAGGTGCAACAACATGTGAAAAATAGTAGAGTTATACCATATTGTATTGATAGGTCACAAACAATACTAGCTAGCCCTAATTATTTATATGTTCATTTTGACCCACCAATTATTATCTATTGAACTAAGTACTTTGAATCTATCTATAGAAAAAAAGAAGAAAAAAAAGAGTGATACTCCTATAATTTAGCCCACAAAGAATGCAAGAGTCATAAAGTTTTGAAACTTGGCCAAAGTACATTTCCTTTACAATGTGCAGTATGAACCCTTCAACTTGTGCTTCTGTCCCTTTTGTGGTCCTATTCCTACATATGGACTGCATAATTTTGGACAAAATACCATACAAAAACTTTGGGGGGGGGGGGGGGGGGGGGAGGGTGTTGTATGAGGGAGGGTTGTTTATACGTATAAATACAATGTGTAGATACATCGATTTGTAAGCAGAGACGGATCTAGATTTTGAACTATATGAATTTGGATTTGAAATTCCATTACATTCTGTCTGATTTACTTGGTTTGTAATATGTTATTTACACTTATTTAATGAAAACATTTAACATATATTACAAGATTTTTAAACGGCCAAGACTATTAGGTTCGAATTAATGAACTTATAGTTTTTTTTCACTAGATAACTCACCCTTGATCATATGAACAATGAAAGAGATATCATCTCAGAAAGATTTGTAGCAATTAGGGTTCTCTAGAAGGAAGGAGAAATTTAAATCATTTTCAATATGAAAATAGTTTTTCCTATGAGAAAAGTCGTAATTGATCACAAAAGATCAGTATTTCGTCATTTTTTTTATGTATTACAATCATACATAAGAATGTATACTTTCATACAATGACAAAAGACAAATATTAATCTTATATATATAATATCGTTTTTCAACCAATAAGACATCAGATTCAGATGAACCTCCTTCTGCCACGCTATATATCTAGCTACTATACATATATAACATCATATACACCAATGATATATACGTATATATGGTGTGTGTGGGGGTGGGTGGGGTGGGTTAGGGGACCATTTGATGATTAGAAAAAGAATC